TGGTTTTCTCCTCCCCCCCCCCCCCCCCCCCCCATCAGAGAAAGGCACCAAGTGGGGAGGAGCAGGAGCTGGTGTTGGGAGGAGCTGGTTCTTGTACATTTCAAAGTCAGGCACCACAGGGAGCACAGGGCCAGCAGAGGTCCCCTGCTGGTCCTACACTCCCTGCGGGGCTTCCTTTTGAAACGAACAAGAGCTCTTGCTACAATTCAAAGGCAGAGGCGCCCTTATAGACTAATCAAATAGTCAATGGAAATCCCATCGACTAGTCAATTAGTTAATTAATCTAAATTTAACATCCCTAGCTCAAATATGGAAACCTGAAATGCCCATAAAGCAGAATCCCATGCAGATGAGTCCTGGGAAGAAGGCCAGCCCAAAAATTAGAAACCTTTTAAGACTCATAGGCACCATGAGACTTCACTGCCTGAGCCTGGGATTTGCCTTCTGCATAGGGGAGAATTGCACCTAAAAGCCATTGAGAAAAAAACTCCCAAGCCACAAAAAAGCAGTGTGCAAGTTTTCCCCGTTCCAAAGGGCTGGGAGAGCATGACCCCATGTAGGAAAGCGTACTGCCCATTATTCAAGATTCCACTTTGTTTCCATCTCTACAGGCAATGGTTTTAGTAGCCACCTTTGCCTCTTATCCCTGTTCTCGCTGCCATCAGCTCCCCTTTCCTATTGCCTAGCTGCACAGTGTCACTGAATGTGGCCATAGCGCCTCCTGCAGGGAATACCACTTAGTTTGTTTTTTTTGTTTCCTTTTGTAGGTATCCTCTCAACACCCCTATGCTGAGGACTTCATAGGGAAGCCACACGTGTGGACAGTGGACTACAATAACTCAGAGGAGTTTGAAGCTGCTATCAAAACCATCATGAGGACCAAGGTAATTCCTGGCAGTATTCCTTGAAACAGTGAGGTAAGATCAGCTACTCCTGAGATGGAGAGAATGGAGGGCTGGCTGTATTTACAGGAGTCAATAACAAGAAGTTGTTAGCAACCCCAGTGTCTCTTTGTGATGGTCGTGGCAGTAGTGGCTAGTCAGCTCTCTGAAATTGTTTACACTTGCAAGCCACGACATGTCCTCTCAGGACAGGAGGCTGTTTTTCTTGGATTTCAATGGGAGTTGTGCTCCTAAGTCACTTAAGCTCTTTAGCAAACATGACTCGATGAAGTTACACTTGTCAGTGTAACCGAGATCAGATTCAGGCCCAGCAGGGATGGTTAGCTTGGACTCTGGTTAGCCACTCGGGTTGCATCCACCAATGCTCAGGCCTAGCTGTGGGGCCAGATTTCCCAAGAGCTCAATTCCACATAGACCTCTAAATAAGTTAGTTGATGGATTTTCAGTAACCTTCTCCCCCACCCGCTCCGAAACCAATCCCAGCTGCTGGGCTCTAAGCACTTGAAAATCTGGCATGTCGGTTCCTGCAAGGAAGCTAAACTCTCTGGAGAATCTTTCTGATAATGTCCCCTCCCCATTCCACAATCCATCATCATCCCACTTCTCACCAATCAAGGAGTTAAACCCACGCATTTAAGCAGGATACAGTTTTTCTATCATGACAGTGCTGTACTATTCCACAGAACTGCTACCCCAACCCCTGTAAGCCGGTCATGTATTTGATTGCCCTATGTCTGCTTATATTTAATTACTAAGTATTATTATTTGCATTTATCAATTCAATAGGAAAAGCCTCATGTCTCCTCCTCCCCCATTAAATGGAAAGGGTTGAAGAAAAGCAGCAGCAAAAAAAAAAAAAAAAAAAAGAAAAAGAAAAGCGCTTTTTGAAAAATGCAGCAACTGCTGTGTGAGCCAACTTCTCAAAGACTTTTAAAAACGTATCCGTCATGAATATTTACCTCCCCAGTGGCAGGAGTCTTTCAAGTTGTCCAAATTATTAAAGTCAATTTTCCTGGAGGGGAGAAAAGTGCTGATCTCCGTTTTGCTCACAATTTGCTTTGGGTAGGATGAGATGTCCCTGTTGTTACAAAGCCACAAAATAGCATCTTAATAAAAAATGGCCTGCATCCGAACTAACAGGGGTCAGGGAATTTGCAAGCCTCTTCAAGCATTTTTATTTTATTTTGTTGAGTGAATTTGTATGGTTCATGTCAAGTTGAGAGCAGCAGAAATCCCAGCTCTCCATCCACAGCTAGCTGTACCATGGTGTAATGCTCTTCTGTCAGTATCCCTCAGCCCGGATCTGTTCCATTTCTTTGGCCCATTCTGTCCTTGCTTCCTCTGGGAAGCTGCCATCAGTTGCACTGAGCCACAGCAATGAGGGCAGTATTGGGAGCCCCCTTTGCTTTCCCAGCACAGCTATCACATGGCAACACTTTTTAATTGTTACGCTGTAGGAGTGGTAATTGAATTGGAGGAGTGGCTCTGTAGTCCATAGCCATCTCCAAAACTACAGCCCTTTAAATCCACCAATATCCACTTTATATTCATATCCACAGATATGCATGCAGATATCTGCAGCTCATTTTTGTGGATATGGATGCAGATACAAATTTTGTATCTAAGGCCCTGCAAATTTGTGCATATCTCATTTATATCTGTGGCTATCTGCATCCGTGGATGTGGATGCGGATATCCACAGATCATTTTTGCAGATACAGATATAGATCCCAATGTTGTATCCCTGCAGGCCTCTAGCCATAGCCAAGTCGATTCCCCCAGGGGAAATGGCTTACTAGAAGTTGAATTTCCAGATTAAAAATTTCAAACTATGTAAATTCTTAATTCAGTAACACCCCTTGGATAGATGCACATTAATGGAGCTCCAGTTAATTCAATGGCGCTACAGTGGTTTATGCCAAGTAAATTTATGCTAAGTATCTGGCCCTACAAAGATTTTAATGTTACAAGACCATCTTATATAAAAAAAAATCTCTTTGTAAACACACTCTCCTATTTGGCTCATCCTTGGAACCCTTGTTTCCCACCAAGCATTGGTGGCGTTGCTCCTCCCTGCCACTGAGCACACAGCCTTGTTCTGCTCCCTCTGCATTGCTTGTCTCCCAAGTTGTGAGTTTCCACTCTCTTCCTTTGGGGCCTCAAGTCAGATCAAGGAAAATGTTGATGGGGGAGGGCTGTGATGAAAAGGAATATGTCTCTTTGCTGATGACTTGCTGTCACAGGGTTTACTTGCTGTTGGGTAAACGGAAATGCAGCAAAGACAGTGGGTATGCTGGCCTCCCCTGCCCTCCCTCTCAGAACACTGGGAACAGCCCAGTGCCCCTCTCTCCATGCAGGGGAGCCAATGGGAATGCCATCTTGTGCCTTTCCAAGCCAACAGAGCCATTTGAAATCAAGCTCTAAAGAAGAAGGCAGAAATAAAAGAAGAATGAGCCTTTGTGGATTTGCTGCTGCTCAGTGGCATGGTATTTTTACAGTCCAAGGGAAGACTGAACAAGGGGGAGCAAGAATGACATGGGTTGGAGAGACTGAGAGAAGATCATGTGCCGTTTATGGTAGGCTGTTGGAAATGCCACTGGGGCTTGCCTCTTAAGTATTGAGCAAGGCTCTGGGTCTGGTTTATCTAGGGCATAGAAACAAATCTTTTGTTGTGTTTATGCGATACAGCCTCTAACAGTCTGAGGTTCCTGTGCCCTTGGGAACCTGATAAACTATCTGCTTTCCAAAGAGTAGCGCCAGGCACTGCCAGGTAGTCAGTGCTTGGCCTTGGAGGATAGCACTCCCAAGGGGCATTTCTGTGAAAGGTGCCAGAACTGACAACTAACTGACTCTGTGACTGTTAGTGCTAGAATCCATGCTCTCCTCGTGCGACAGTGGCTTGTTAAGTGTGGGATCTTCGGTATCTGTTAAGGGCTCTCGCAATCTGGAGGTTGTTCTGATCTCATCTCTCCTTCTCTATAGGATTACAAAGAATGTATCAAACCACCATATACAATTATTTGCCATTTGGTGCATCTCAATTAAAATTAAATTTTCAATAATGATGTCCCTGCTGCTTGGCTTCCTGCTCAGCTGTCAACAAAAACTGAAGTGAGTGGCATTGACCAACTCTGTATCATTTTCTCTGGAGAGATGTGCCCCAAGAGAGGGGGCTCAGCTGCTGAGCTGGTGTTTAAAGGGAATATGTGTCACATTCTCTGCATGTTATGTGATGGATTAATGGAAATCACGTCTTTCCATTAGCTGTGTAAAATTGGCAAAAAACGATGAGTGTTAAAAAAAACTAATCAGGTCTTAATGTCAGGGCCTCAACTTCTCTCCAGAAGTAAAATGGAACAGTGGCTGTTTCTCTGCTTTCTGGACCCATTCAGTCAAGTGCCAGAGGGATCCTTTAGCCTTTGACAATTTGAAACATGGATTCTGTGATGCCCAGCATGGTGCACAGTTATTTACTCTAGTGCCCGATGGGTATACATGCTGCCATCCTGATCCAGCCCCTATTCGCACTCAGTTAGCACTGGAGTACGATGACTCAAGGCGCAAGACACCACAGAACCAGGCCCATGGCGGCTAATCCCTACTGAAGTCACAACTAGCATTGAGTTTATTAGTCTTTCATGCTAGTGTGTATTACAGAGCCACTGCCCTCTCTGGCCTCATGAGTGGTGTTTGCTTAAGGAAAGCTCAAGACAGGAGAGTGCCATGGCTCAGGATTCACATGGAGTGGCAGAGCTGCCTGGGAACCAAGTATTAGCAGATGGCACGGCAGGGGAGGGGATTCAGGTATTGGGAGAGAGGTGCATGGCCTCAGACTAGAAGAGCAGTTTGTTGCTGCAGGTCAGGATTTGGGTCCATTGGTAGAACTGTTGGAAGAAAGCATTAGTCTCTCACTTTAATCCACTTTTAACTGACTCAGCTCTGCAAGGGGAACAAAGAGGAAAACCAGAAGCCTTGTGCTGCTCTCACAATACAGTCTCTCCAAACAGATGAATACATTACTTAGCTTTACTTCAAAGTTGAGCCCACTTCTCTCATTTAGACTGCTATAAATTGAAAGTAACTTTAGGGAAGACAGCAGAGTGACTCTGGATTGACACTGGTATTACGAGAATGGGTGAAGCAGGTGATTGTGAGAGAAATGTTGGGTGTATTGGAATTTGGTCCCAAATGTACACCTGCACACATTTAACATAAAGATTCTGGACAATATTTTCAGAAGTACCTAAGAAAATTAAGAGTCTGAATCCCATTTTCAAATGTGGGTTAGGTACTTAGGAGCCCAAGTCTCACTGGAAACCAGTAGGATTTAGACACCCAAATTCCTAAGGATACTAAGCCACAAAAAACCACAAACACTCTCACAGTCCAAATCAACTGACATGGACTCATGGGGCTCACATTACAGGACTACAAATATAAATTAGATCAGCAGTAGTCAATTATTTTTTCTTAAGGTCCAAATTTCTTGGTCAAGGTCCAGACTCCAGGGAAATTAATAATTAAAAATAACAATGATAATAATAAGTAAATACTATAAAGATTTTGAGGACCATTCCAAGGCATCTGCCAATCCGGATTTGGCCTGTGGTCTACCTATTGCCTACCCCTAGTTCCTGCTCAGGGTGGAACTTGGGCTCTGAGACCCATCACTGGAGTGAGGCATATATTGGCAAAGCGTTATGGGTAAGCCAGTCCTGACATGACTTGACCTGAATCTGTTCCACTGAGAGACCCCTTCAGCCTACAGAGGTATCAGTCTTCTATCAGCACCGAGAGTCTGATCCAGAGTTCATTGTAAGTCTCCGATTGTTCTTCGTGGATGTTGAATTGAACTGAATTTGCTTTAAAAGAGTAAAAACTATGGCCCAGGTCAGCTGTCACAGTTTTATTAAAAACGTGCAGTGACTCTAGAGGAGAGTTGTTGGGTTTTTCCACTGGGAGGTGTGTTCTTGGGCTAATCCCTTACCATGTCAAAGCTCCTTTTTAAAGATGTTATATAAACTGTCTGGGACCAGGGAGAGACTAAAGTAACTCACAGCACATTCCTTTTATTTAAAGATGCATTTATTAGAGACGCAGTCAAGACAATTAGGCCTAAAAATTGACCTAGCAAAAAAGCCTTATTATGGGCTTTTGCTGGTATTTTATCTTTAAAATAATGTTTGCTGCAGCTGGAAAAGAAAACAAATCCCATGGGCGGGAGGAGGGGAGAAGAAAGAATGTGGCTAGTTTAGAGTAGTGGGATCGGAACTCCAAGCAATTCTCTGGAAAGTGTCTGGATGAACTCAAGAAACCACAGGAACTCTCCTACCCTATCTCTGCTACCTCACTGAAGAGGATTGACTCAACCCAAGGCACCAGGTTTTCCTGAGATAACAGCTACATTCTGTTTCCATGATATATATGGAAGTGTCATGGGACTTAGCAGGAAAGCTTCTGGTGTGCACTTCAGGACAAGCTGTTTCTAGGGCCATCAACCTCGTGGGGATCCTATGGAAAAGGTGAAAAACCCTGATTTAGAGGATCCTGTCCGTCTGTCAAGCTGAGGAGTTCACAAACATTTAAAGTGTGCGCTACATTTTACTACCGAGTTTTTCTTATTGGCTTTTCCCTTACAGTCATGATTGCTCAGGCTATTTCCCCTCCTATCCATGGTTGTATAACATCTCTGGAGCAATCCCGGCAATTGCTGACATGCAGTGGCAATATTAGAAAAGCATGTAATGTATTTTTTAGCTGCAAGTCTTACTCTTAGCCAGCTTGTATTCACATACCGTCTTTTCTCAGGATATGCTCACCAGTTTCTCTTCACTGCAAAATTCAAGCAGTTTCTCCTTGGCTTGTGTTTGGATGGCTTAGCCATCTCCACTCTGGAGTAGCATAACTCCATAACTAGAATAGGGAAAAATGAATGTTTCAGAATACTTGAAACAATTCACAAGTCTGGGTCGAATTCATTGAAGTTCGAGATGAAAGAAAAAACAGGAGCAATGTTGACTCAAAACTTTATTTCAAAATGTTTTTTTGAAGTGACTTTTCAAATGTTTTGTGTGGCTTTCTCATGTCAATGACAGCGAGAAACAAAATGGAAAAATCCATTTTGGTTTGATACAAAATTATTTTTTTTCCAGATTTTCTGATTTGGGTACCAAACTGAAAGAGCAATGTACAGAGTAGCATAGCACTGGTTTGCACCATTGCACAGTAAAACCAGTAACTCCAATCAACTGTAATACCACCCTGGTATCATCATTGCTTGACAGGAATGTGACATCATTGAAGGTCACTAGATGGCACTATTTCTGATAGTGGTATTAGGTCTGTTTAGTTGAATGTATAGGATCTAAGGGCATGTCTTCATTAGCGGCCTGATGGATCCATCCAGTAGGGGTCGATTTCTCGCATCTTGTATAGACATGATAAATCCACCACTGATTGCTCTCCCATTGACTCTGGTACTGCATGATAACAGATGAGAGTAAGGGGAGTTGATGGGAGAGTTTTTTCCGTAAACCTAGAATGGTGTGGACTCCACAGTAAGTATTTCCTAAACTATGTTGATTTGAGTTACGCTACTAACGTGACTCAAATTGAGTAGCTTAAACCAACTTGTCCCCATAGAGGAGACCTGCTCTAAGTCTTGAAAAGTTATATGTGATGCAGTTCATTTTACATACCAAGCATATCACTGGTAAAGTTTGTTCATGCTGCCTGGGTCTCTCTGTGGCAATCAAATGTAAATGTAACTGCTGCTGACAAGTGATCCAATGCAAGTAAATAAGGTAATACAAGGTGCCAGAATATTACTGGAAGAACTTATGCAGTATGTGCACCTACTGAGTTGGTAATATGTTAGCCAAGCCCTATGAAAAAGTCCTTGTGACAGCTGGACTTTTTGTATATGTGGCTACTTCTGTACTTCTGCAAATAAATTATTTGAAATTCTGAGATTCAGATGGCAACCTCATCCCAAAGCCATGAAGTCATTTAGATTTGCTGGAAAATGGACCTTTGTTCTCTGGACAGGTGTTTGAATTTTAGTTTGGGCCTCAGCTGAGATTGTGGCAAAGCCCCATCTCAGGAAAGGTTCGTGTAGTTTCAGGTTTCAGAAAAACC